GGGGATGAACACATGGCTCTCCAGGCAACACTCTGTCTCCACCCCCCTCGACCTTCATTAGCGGGTCATTAGGAGAAGTTCAGGGAAAGCTGGAAAACAGTCGGCTCTGTTTGTCTTCACAGAAACACTCATTATTGTTCTGCGTTTTATTTTTTTATTTTTTGTACCGCGCTGCATCATGACGGCGCATTAACGAAGAGAGGATAGTCCAACCCAAAGCAGACAGATGACTAGAAAACGGCTTTATTATCTGCTAATAATGGCTTGTAAAAAGACATTAATACTCAATAGAAACAGAAAATATTTAACTATTCATTTGTTTAATGGTTGCCTCATATTTTGGGATGTTTTTTAACCATTCTTCCAGAAATGCATATGTGAAGTCAGACACTAATGTTGAGGAAGTAAGGAGTCCCATTCCTGACTGAGTAGCTCTGATTGGGTCATTTCTGTTTATTTGTGGGGCCATGAACACAGCATGTCGGACGTGATGAAGATACAAAACATAGAAGAAGAGGAGGATGACGAAGAAGAAATAAAGATACAGAAAAGGAAAGTTTGTTCATTTTTCTTTTCTTCTCCTCTTCTCATCACAAAAACAAACGGAAGAGAAAAAGATTCAAGCATTCATTTGTTTGATGCTTGCCTCATATTTTGGGATTTTTAAGGAAATGCATGTGTGAGGTCAGACACTGATGTTGGACCAGTATGGCGTTACATTCCTGCCAAAAACCCTGTGAAGTCTATTAAGTAATCACAACAGTGCATGTATTCATCGAGAGATTGCAGATATTTCTATTTATCCACAGGCCCATGAACGCAGCATGGGACATGATGTGGAATCAAAGCACAGAAGAAGAGGAGGAGGAGGGTGACAAAGAATAAGAAAAGGTGTAGAAATGGAAAGTTTAATTTTTCCTTTCCTTTTTTTTTTTTACCTCAACATGCTTTTTGCAGCCATTAATAATTTCCTGCCGTCGTTCTAACTGAATATTTGATTATCTGTTTAATTAAATTGGTAAAATGATTTAAAACTGGTTTTCAGGGAAAAAACTGATTTTTAAAGATATTCCAGAAAGTTTAAACAGCATTTAAGATGCAGGCTTGTAAAGACCAATTTAGAAATGTAAATTTGTGAGCAGGCCCACAGCATGATGCCACCACCACCACCATGCATGGCAGCTGGTTCACAAAGTATCCACTGAACAAACTGAATAAATCATGATGTGTGATTATAATTTCATGATGGAAGAAATGTCTGCAGGCTGGATTCTTATTTTAAGGGGGTTTTTTTCAAGTTGGTCCTGAAGCTGCAACAATAAGACTTTATTGGTCTAAATTACAAAAAACCCATCAAAATAGGCAAAAAAAAGGAAAAGGTTCTGCAGGTTGTAGTAAATGTACTCAGGAAGTGGAGAAGTGACTAAATATGAATTAATATCTCAGGTCTGCAAACATGAAAATCATATCTGGACACATTTAAGTGCAGCGACTGGTAACAAGAAGCGTGTTCCTGCCCCAAACCAACATGGCTGCCGCTGGCGGCACCAGAATCCTTTCTGCAGTTTGGGCCCCGTCCAGCTTTCCACTCTGACTGCATATCTCCCTGTTAAGGTCTTGGGTTGGAAAGAGCGATAGAGCGAGGGAAGGGAAGAGTGCCAACTCAAACATTGTTCCACTGGCTTTTACAAGCTCACAGAGTGGGGGAGTTAATAAGCAGGTATTGGTTTTTAACGGCAGCCCGTTTATTGCTTTGGCCTCGGGCGAGCGGCAGCGCTCCACTCCACCTTTTCCCCGTCCGTCCGTACATCAGCTCCACTAATCTCTGGCTCGCCTCGCTCCGCCTGCTCCCCTTTTGTTTTCACGTCTCCATGAGCAATTAATCCCGACTCCTCATCAAGCGCTGGCTTTTAGCCCCGCCCATAACCTTTTCAGCATCGTCGAATCAGAAGCTTTTATGAAAAGACGAAATCAGAAACAAAACCGCATCAATTCTGCGTTATTATGTTGCTATTGATTGTGTCTGCTGCAGGTACATGTTGGAGAGCTGCTGCTGATCCTCGCGCTGCGGTTTATTCAATTTAAAAGCATATCTCTCAGTCAATACGGGACGATCTGACATCCGCGAGTCATTGCTGTGCGTCTCCGACATGATGAATGCGCTGCAGCTTTAATTACGGACATATTGAGCTGTTGATCAGTGTCATCTGGTCCTCAGAGGATGGCTCCCTCAAGGTTCAGCGGCACGGAGCAAAATGAGACCAAAACCCTCCAAACTGGGATTAAAAGCCTTTCATTCCTGGTTTAAATGCTGATATCTGTGTTTGATGCTTTGTGGAAAATTTTACAAGCAGAAGGAAGAGGCGTGTGGGTCGTGTTGCCCTGAAGTTTGTCTTCCATGCAATAAAACTCTCTGTCCGCTCCATTAGCCTTTTAAAGTGAAACCGCCTCGCAGTCAACATGTAAAAGCTGCAGAGCCTCTGAGTACAAAGGTTCCGTTGAAAATAAGCTGGATTACATCAACGATTCCTGAGTTTTTCTCTGCTGATTCTCAGTTATAAAATGGAAGATTAGGGGGATTAGATACAGATTACAGGTTCTGCAGTTTAGGATTAATGGACCTATAATCTAGACTAATTTTGCACCTCGTGTATGAAACTGCTGCATCCCAGGTGAACAAATTGGCATCATCACAGATCCTTCCTTCAAGCAGAAACAAACTCCATCAGTGTTTACACTCCTGCTGTTATTTACAGTTTTTGCTGTTGCATTGATTTTCATTATGTAATTCCATAAATATCAACATAAAACAAATTTTAATGCAATTAATAAAATTTTTGTTCCGTCGGGAACCTTTGTATTTCCATGTTTCTGGTACACCTGTAAATCTGACGCACAAACGACATCCAGTTTTAACCTGTCATTCACACGAGGACCCAAATTTGGGTCCTCGTGTGAATGACAACCTGTGAACAACAGGTTAACTTCTGCTTCTAAAAAGCGATCTGATTGGACGCTGGAGAAGACCATCACTGTGTTCAGGTTGTGCTAAAAGGAGCTAGCGCTGCTGTTCAAGCCCTGACTTGGCAGAGATAAAAACTGCTTTGATTTGATGATAAAATGATATTTTAGCGGTTATCTTGAATGTTCTCTTTATGAGGGCCACATAAGATGTTAAAGCGAGCTAGTTTTGGCCCCCGTGGCATGAGTTTGATACGAATCCCTTACCTATTTCTGATTTGATGTTGAAATAGGATAGAAGAAAATTTATACCAGCCAATAACGTGTTTCTGCAGAAATATTTGTGACCTGAGAAATATTATGCTTTACATATTGAAGAAAATTCTAATTGTCTTTAAATTTGAATTTAAAGTAAATGAGTAAAACTGTCCAGTAATCTAAATGTTCACAGTTACAGAAACGGATTCCTGTCATGTTGGCGCGAGTGCAGAGAAAGGATCTGAAGGTCCAGTTTAGCTGCATCAGGATGAACATTTCCTCAGCAGGCTGCAGGTTTACCTGCAGAGGACGGCTGACCGGAGCGGATAGGACGGCGTTACCGAGGCGATTTCATGTCCTGTAATCCTAAACCTGCTGCTGCCTCTGTCCTCAGGCTGCTTCTCTCCTCCAGCCGCGGATCACCGGACGGATCAACAGGCTGACTTTAACCCGCTTATTCCGCTCGCAATTAACACGCTTCCTCTGCGCAGAGAAAGGGGCAGGATTCTGGCTCCATACAGGGATATGAGGGATTCCCTCCTGAACCGCCCGGGAGGCCGATCCGATGGAGCAAGTTGAAGGTTTGTAGACGGACCAGAGTTTGCCGTTTTAGTTTGGTTAAGCGTTCACACTCACCAAACGAACCGGACTTTCAAGACAAACAGACTGGAGTTGGACTAGTCCAACATATAGACATATATTTATGTCTTTGGGAATTAGCCCTAAGACATAAATATATCTCTGATGATGTCACATTATTGTCTTTTCTTTGTTTCTCTAGATGTTTGTAGCGGTTACCCCAGACAGAGACGCCCTGAGCAGAGAGTCGTATTGCCCACGTCTTACCCACTGAGTCCAGTAACTCTGGACAGAAGAGCTTAACTGCCAGAGCTGGGAAATAAGTACGAGAGCAGTGTGTCTTTTCTTGGTTTAACGACTTTTATATCTCATTAAAACCCAAATAATTTTTTGCCCAAATGAGAAAAGTGTGTCGTTTAGAAGCAGCTTAGTGAGAGGACGGAGACAGAGGAAGTCCCTTTATGACTTTTTAAGATGCTGTAATCTGTCAGGAATGTTTTTCCATACTGAGTGACAAACTGACACACATTCATTATAACGACCTGCTGCATGCAGCCTCTGTAAGCTTGTTTTATAGAGATGTCCTGTGGATCTCTTGTTGTGTGATCTGAACAGGAGAAACCTGAGTAAATAAAAGAAACTACTTCAAATAATCAGGTTTTCTATAGTAGAGAATGAGAAGATTTTAGAGGAAGGACCAGCAGTCCTGGAGGAACCTCTGGATGTTGAAACGGGGCTACAAAGTTTAATTTGCATCTCTGCAGGCCCAGTAAAGAGACCACATTACATCTCTGACTCCTGCAGCTCCACCAAAACAAATCCAGCTCTTTCTAATGTTATTATCCAGCTGGGAGACACCTTCAGCTCGGCTCCCAGCTCCACGCCATTCGCAGCGTGTTCCTCTGGAGGAACAATGCTTCCAAACAGGAGTGTTTGTTTCCAACAAACTCCCAGCGGCGGCTGCCTTCAGCATCTGCTTCCCTGCTTATCAACGGCCAGGCTTCTCACACAAACTCCCTGCGACAGGCGGCTGCTCACCTGCGCGCGGCCGGTCACTCACCGCTGCTAAATGCGGCATGGCAGCATGGAGGTAATCTCCCCGACACACGCAGGCCGGGGGCGAGCGCGCCTCAGGGCGCTGCTGGGAGTGTGTGATTAGAGCGAAAGGTGGGAAGAGGAGAAGCCAAGACACAAATACTCACCCCTGTTAAGGTCTTTATGTTATGCAGTGCATTCTGGGCTTCAAGGGCAGCTTTCCTTGTGTAAAACGTGACAAAACAGCAGCCTGGAGAGACAGAGGAAACACAGAGAGCAGAGGGATCAGCAACAAAGAGCAGCTTCTATATTCATCTGCTTGGCATCACCTGTCGACACCTGCAGACGCTGAGTGAATGTTAACAACACAAACATCCAGCCTGAGATGACGAGAAGGCTTCTGGATCGGTTTCAAAGCCTGATGAGTCGAGTCGAGAGGAAGTGGCACGCGGGGAGACGCAGGAACACAAACACAAAATAAAAGGCAGAAACGCTGGAGCAGCGGCTTTCTGCTCATTAATCCTGCAGCAATCAGAGGAACGCTGCAGAAGGAAGCGATGCTTTCGCTGACCTGATTTAATTACAGACATGAAGGTCAAGCCAGGAAGAGCTTCTCCAGATTCTACGGCCTGTTTGTGCCTCAAATCTTAAAATAAATGATCATTTCGCTCTGCAGGAGGCTGAAATCTGTTGCATTTATCTTCTGACATTAAATATGGACCAATTATATTACAGTTTGTGAACTGAGATTCAAAATGTTTGTAAAAATAAAAGAAAAACAGAAAATGGACAAATTTTACAAAACGGTCAAATTACTTAAAATTCTGGGAAAAAAAGCTGTAAAAATGGCTTAATGATAATAATAATAATTAGAATATTGGTAATAATGGTAGTATTATATTTTTATTATTATCAATTACTTATTATAAATATATTTTATATGTATGTCTATAATGACTTTAGCTACTACTATAAATTATTTATAATAAAAATGTTTTAATAACATTTCTAATAATAATTAGTTATTTTATTAACAATATAATTTTTTTGAATTATTATTCCATATTTTATTTGAAGATTAAATTATGTACTCCGTTTTTTACCTACAAATGTCCTGAGAAGAATCTAACATTTAATTATAGAATATTATCTGTAGGGCATTTATTAATTCACTTTATGCTCTGTTTGCCTTCCATACTCCACCTGATGGATTATATTTAATCCCAAACATTAGATATCATTTCTGCCTGTAAAGCCAACAGAAAGATGCAAAGTGCAGCAGGTTTCTGAGTCCCTGCAGAGAGGAAGAGCAGAGCTGCAGAAATCTGAACATTCATGCAAAAAAACCCAGGAAGAAAACATTTAGGCCAGACAAAGAGGCGTGGCTCTTCTGCAAACATCAGCTGTCTGTTGATCTGGGCCAGAAAATCTGAAGATCCTTCTGTCTGAATCAATTAATACAAAGATCTCAGAAGTTCCTTTGAATCCAGACTGAGGATGCGGCGCAGAAAACATTACACACTGTGGGTCTGAGATTGTGTTGCATCAAACACGAGCTGGCTTTATTAGAGAGGTAAATATCCCATCATCACGCAGCAGCCACAGGTGAGCCGCTGCCGGATCGTCATTCTGGAGCCTCCAGTTTTTGCCATCTGTTAATTTCTGTGCTTATTTGTCCAGCGGTGAGCAGAAAGCGCTTTTGTTTACATCTGCTTTGTTGTTTTCCCGTTGTGCTCTGACACAAATCAAATCAGCCGGACCGAGGCGGAGCCGCTGCTGGTTCTGATGGCCGGTGACGCCTGGCCTGCGGTCCAGCAGCGAGCATCTGGAGCGGGTTTCGCCTGCCGTCCCAGAGTCCCAGTGATGAGGCTGGGAGCGAAATGGATCTGGATTCCTGCAGCGTCCTGCGGGATGAGCTGGCCCATCGCCTGGCACCGCCGACTTGAGCTGGATGCCGCTGCACCGCGTTGTGCTGCGCCGCGCTGCGCCCGCCGCTGCATTGCATGGATAACGCCGGGCTTAGTGTCTGCTTCACCTCCACTAACACACAGTCCACCGCGTGTCACTTCCTGTCGCCTTCTAATGGAACAATCAGCAAGATGGAGACTTAGAAATGTATAAAAAGCATCACACACAACAAGCTCCTCCTCCCCCACCTGTTGCTGAAAACCATCAGTCAATAAGAACAAAGCAAAAACCAAAAAACCACAAGAGGCAGAAATATTTTCTAATAATCACCAAGGCTCAAATAAGACAGAAAACACAACTCGTCAGCTTTAGTTAGTTTTTAGAGTGTTTTTATTATTTTTAATATTCTTTAGGTTTGTTCATACTTTGGTTAATTTTAAGGCTAAAGTACTGTATTGTGATTATGTCTACATCTATTGGATAAGAAAGACTCAAAAGAAAATTGTTCAATTATTGTTGAACAACCAACTGATTGGTGTTTTCTCCAAACTGTCGTTGACATTTACGGACAGCTGGCATGAACTGGATGTGTGGAGAAGGAAATAAGTCAATCTAACATAAAGCTGGATAATAAATCAATAATAAATATCACGACAGACGAGATCAATAGATAATACAGCTGATAGAATATTCTCTGACTGATCCAGAGTGAGACATTAGGTTGGTGGAATCAACCAACTTCCTCTCTCTTTGGTTGCCTAGCAACAACCTGATGGGTAAGTTCCACCAATTTTGGTTCCCTAGCAACAACCTGATGGGTAAGTTCCACCAATTTTGGTTGCCTAGCAACAACCTGATGGGTAAGTTCCACCAATTTTGGTTCCCTAGCAACAACTTGTTGAGTAACGACACAGCAGCAGTTGAAGGTTTGGCCACCGAGCTTCATAACACGGCTGAGTTCACCTCCACAGACAAACTGGAATAAATAAATCATTAAAAACAATAAAAACAGGACCTGACTGACAACACGAAGCAGGCTAAAGCTGCTCCATCATGTTTATGTCTGTATGGCTCAAAAAATTATGAAATGAAGGTTAAATATTGGCCCAGTCAAAGCCTGGACTGTAAGCTCACCAAGGTGTTTGGTTTAAAGTTAATCAGACTGTAGCCTTGGAGCCACATTAGCTCTTAGAGGTTTTCCTCCAGCTCGGTGCAAAGTGGATGTTATCCAGCAGGGAACCGTTAGCGTAGCCTCGGCCCGCAGCATTACTACCATTATCATTCCAATTGCACCGGTGTTCATGTTTTGGCCCCCGATGGGCCATTTGCAATTCCAATAAACAGTGTTAGGTGCTAGCCACAAATTACGATTCCAGTGGCGTTTCCTGCAGAGCTGGACATGTGAGGGTTAGCTTTTGGTGTTAGCATTAGCGATTCTGGCAGCATATAGCATGCCCCCTGCATGCTATATGGAGAGCGCCGCCGCCGCCGCGCGTTGAGATTCCCGAGCCGTCGCCGCGCCTCGGAGCCATGCAGCATGTGGCGGATCGTCCCAGGTGGTGGGCTGTCAGGACGGGGATCAAAGAGCAGAGGAGCGGACCTCACACACACACATTTACACACCCGGGTGTGTCACTTCCACCTGTTTAACAGTCAGCACACTCGCTCGCAGAAAAAAAACCTGCAGTGAGCCACAGAGTGACATGCTTATCTGAGAAGTCTGTCTACAGCAACGCGTCGCATTTACACAAACACACTTTAAAAGTGCTAAAAATGTGCAGCCGACTGGCATAAATGCTTCTTCCGGCGGTTTTTGTGAGTCTTTTCTCGCAGCACAAACATTTACTCTGAGGCAGAGGGGCTCAGAGCGCCGAGATCCGCTCTGCTTGAGTTGTTGAAGAGGGACTCTCAAAAAATACACACCAGAGACGAGCGCACAAACTCCAGGAGAGGGTAAATCTATTACAGGCTGCTGCGTGTGTGTGTGTGTGTGTGTGTGTGTGTGTGTGTGAGAGAGAGAGAACAACAGGAAGACGAGCTGAGAGGACAAGAGGAAGAAGGGCAGAGGGAGTGCACCACAGAAGAAGAGGGATGGGGGAGGAAGAGGTTGTGAACAGAATAAAGAGCAGAGGAGGGAGATGCCGGTTCATAAATGCTTCATGGAGGCTGAACAGCGGCCTTTGACTGAGCGAAAACCTCCCCCCCCCCACCTGTTTCTGTCAACACATCCGGCCTCTGGAACAACAGAGCAGCAGCTATGGTGGTCCTGATGGGTCAAATTGACCTCACATGTCAGCTTTTACTTAAAATCATTCCTAACTGAAGCGCAAAGATTCACCTTCACTTCTTCCACTTTTTACTGCAAACTTTAACTCATAAAACCCATAAAAATAAAGTTTAATATTAAATCCTTCATGCTGATTTAAAACAATCCTAATTCCACTATAACAAGACAATTTATCATGTTATAAAGCAAATAATCTGCCAGAACTAGAACTTTTTAAATCAATTTTAAGGAATTATTTACTTTAATCAAGATCCTATTATCTCCTGAAAAGTTACTTATAACTTAAATAAGATAAAATGAAGATATTTGCAGTAGAAACTAGACCAACAACACTTGGTGAAATTTGGTGTTTTTGGATTGAATACTTTCTAAAAATCCATCAGATGTTTTTAGAAGCAGGATAAATTTTCCCAATCTGGCAACCCTGCTCTTCTGTTTGTTTTTTTTCTTCTGTGGTTCTCTGGAAGCGTTTTTGTAAATTTCCTTTTAAAACAATTGAAGTATTTTTTTATAACGTCTATCTTGGGTTAACATTTCCAGAAAACAGTTTTTCCATTTAAAATGTTTATTTGTGAAAATAAGAGCAGCTCCG